CTCCCATGTATTAATAATTTTAAATATGAATTTCAGTTACTTTTTTTTATGATTCCTTGGTATCATCCAACTCAAGAGCTCTACATTTAAACATGAAGTACATGTTGAAATAGTTATACTGACCTAGTAGTTGTGAACTGAGCTAAACCCTATTCTCTTTAAACATGCATTATGCAAGAGCTAAATCTGCCTATTGCAGGTCTTTCTTTAGGCCTGAAATGTTTTCTAAAGTATTAATTAGACATTAATTAAATGATCCAGGCCTTAATCAACTCTCGATGGCATCAGATTTCTCAGATATTAAATAGATTAGAACTGTTCAGCAATACTTTGATTTAATCAAATATGGAGGACCGAGACTTAGCTTCGATCAACCAGTACGGTGGTTGAAATTATTGCACACATCTGTCAAACCTTCAAAGGCTAATATCTTCGCTTGCAATAGAGTAATTTGAATGAAATTTTCAAATTATTCATTTTACATCATCTACTTTCGAACTATTATAGAATGGCTAGTTCTTTATCTAAATCTTACATAATGTATCTTTAATTTCATGTCTATGTTTTTCTCAGAATTTGATATGATTAGTACATAATCTGTAAGTAATGTACAGCTTATATTTATAATTGTTACATTTTTACCATAGTATTAGTTTAAGGTATTGATTATCTTCATTTAGATTTGAAAAGACGAGACAAAATAAAATGGATTTGACCTTTATAAGAAGTAATGTGATGGCTATAATTATCATTAATCCATATTTTTATTGATTGTTTGGACTATTTGTAGACTACCATTCAACCAAATCTTCTGATCATGTCAAATATTTAATTCATACATGTATTTAACAAATAAAATATCATTGTATAAGCTTTTAGTTGTCTGTCAGTCTCAATGTACCGGTAGTTATAAAAATAAATTGTACCAGTATGCTTGTTTTCCTAAGATTATGTGCAATCCTGATTGAATGAAATATCACTACATTAATGTCATAATGGGTTTTTTTTGTCCTGCTTCATTTAATGTGTTTCTTAAGGGTATGAAATTTGTTTCCATAATAAATATAGACGATATATATTCTTATATTTTTAGTTATATGCCAATTTGTGAGATTACCTGAAACAGGGAATGAATTTGTTACTTAAAGTAGAGGAGATACCACATTCAATATTTGATTCATGAGAAAATTGACTGTTTCATTATGTTATTCCCAATCTTAAAATTGATTGGATGTACTTGAAATAATCAGCTTGCGGTCAAGCCATACCTCTTTCTCCAATAAAACATTACACCAATCTGTCACACAAAAGTTAACTTTACAAAAATGTCAACCCAATATCATCCAACCGCAAAATTGATTCCTGTCAATATTTAGATTTAGTAGGTTTGTTCCTGATTGTGCAAAAAGGTGATATCACTTAAATTTAGACATGAAAAATTCACACTGTTCATATCTATTTTTCATTGTGATTCGAGAAAAAATAGTTGAGTAAATATCAAGTTAATTTAATGCACAAGATGCTTGTTAGATTACGTAGTACAAAAATAATAACTCCTTTGCGTGACTACAGACTGTAAAATGTAAGATTTAACTGGTGTGCTTTATAATAATAGGATAATCGTATCATCTTTTGTCATGTGATATTTAAAATAAATCTCAACATTAATGATGTATTTGATTTTTATACGCCCACATTGAAATGTGGTCGTATATTGTCGTCACCCCCGTCCGTCCGGCGGTCCGGCGTCCACAATTGCTTGTGGACGCTCTAGAGGCTAAAGTTAATATCCGATTGAGTTTAAATTTATACACAGTGTTTAAGGTCATGAGACGAAGAAGTTCATTCATTTTCAGTGATTTTCAATAATTACTGCCAGAGTTATGGCCCTTGATCACTTCAAAAAATCTTGTAAATGCTCTAGAGGCTAAAGTTAATATCTGATTGACTTTAAATTTATACATAGTGTTTAAGGTCATTAGACGAAGAAGCCTATTGATTTTCAGCGATTTCCGATAATTACTGGCAGAGTTATGGCCCTTGATCACTTTGAAAAATCTTGTAGACGCTCTAGAGGCTAAAGTTAATATCCGATTGAGTTTAAATTTATACACAGTGTTTAAGATCATGAGACGAAGAAGTTTATTCATTTTCAGCGATTTTTGATAATTACTGCCAGAGTTATGGCCCTTGATCACTTAAAAAATCTTGTAAATGCTCTAGAGGCTAAAGTTAATATCCGATTGACTTTAAATTGATACAGAGTGTTTGAGGTCATGGGACGAAGAATCATATTGATTTACAACGATTTCCGATAATTACTGCCAAAGTTATGGCAGTTATCACTTTTAAAAACCTTGTGACCCTCTAGAAGCTAAAGTTATCATCCGATTGACTTCAGATTCATACACAGAGTGTAAGGTTTTGAGACAAACAAGTATATTGATTTTCAATGAATTTTTATGACTTGAACAGCTAAATCCATGATGTTAAAAGTTTCCTATACTAAACGTTAGCATGGGGCAAAACTTTATAAAAACCAAACAAATTCTAATGGTTTTCTGATAATTACTTAATGAGTTGTTACTCCTAATCAGATTTTAATGTATTATAAATGTTTCATTACCGAAAAAAGTAAAAATATGTGACAACTCTTGTTCACTGCCCGGACGAGTTAGCTGCTGTGGGCGTATGTTTCATTGCCTGGCAACCTATCTTTTAAAAAGAAAGAAGAGAGATAGATTTAGTTTTCAAGTTTAAATCTAAGTTCCATTTTAAAATCTCAAAATTTTTAGCAGAGTTGATCTAGAAGCAGGTTAACATCCAAAGTTGTCATTCACAGTTGAAAACTTACATATAGCCTAATACTAATACCAGCCTGTCTTTATGATCAACATAAATTCTTGTTTTTACAAAATCACTGAATTGATAATGTTTTTCATTGTAAATTATTCTTGTATTATCCATGCTTTTGTTGTGCCATTGTACATATTAAATTTCATACAATTATCCCTGAGCCTTAAAATAAGATTAGCACTATCACCAACACTGTAGTATTTTTATTACATGGCAGGAAAATGTTGTTGTTTATTGCTTTAGCCCCAGACATTTATTATCTGAGGTTTTTAAAATGTATATTATTTAGTTTACATTATTAGTGAGACTAAAATGTTTATTGAAATTTAACAATAAATACTCCAAAGACAGATTATCATCCGATATGCATGAAATTTAAATGTAATATTTAAATAATGGAAACAAAGAGGCATTGAATTTCAACAGTTTTCATTTAATTACTTTGATTTAACGAATCTGTGTTTCACTTTACAGAATCTTGTGAACACTTAGCCTAATATCAAATTAGTGAAATAAAGACAACAATCGAATTTTAATAATTCAAACATACATTATGCTAGAGCTAAATCTGCCAATTGCAGGTCTTTCTTAAATTATTAATTAGACATTAATTAACTTATCCAGACCATCAACTCTCGATGTCATTGCTAGCCTGTGATATTTACTGGATTATAATCCATCTGCTGCTCAACGCCCATTCATGTTTAAATCAAAAAATGGATAATCAAGACATTATCTAGTATTTAACAATTATAGTGAGAACTGCCTGCTCTTTATCTGATCTCCCATAATGTATTTTAAAGCCATAATTTCATATTTTTAAGTTATATTTTTAAAATGTATTAAAATAAAGCCTTAAAATAGATGGTATCTATAAACAGTCCTACCTTGTTAAAGAATAATCCTATAATTCACTATTGCCAGTTGAGAAATTGGCAAAAATATCATTTTCAACTTCAAATTCAAACGTTAGAAGATGGCTATTCCATGGGGGGGGGGGGAATAGGAGGTAATTGTGTTATTATTTTCGGGGTGAATGATTTTTAATTGTGAGAATGATACCTATGATCGTATAATAGTGAGTTGACAACCTATTGAGCAAAAGACATACAAATAATTATGTTTTGACTTTCTTAGAAAATATGAAATTCTCGCTTTAAGTTAATTACTTAACCGACTATAATGACCCTTGTTTCACTTTGTTGAATCTTATGTACACTGTAACAGCAGCACAAGTTATCAAATCAGTATGGAATTGAAATGCAATATTCAAATTATGGAAACAAAGAGGCCCATTGAATATGCTAAAATTAGTTCTAGAGTTAGTGTCCATGTTTCACTTTATAGAATAGTCCTAACTCCCTAATGTTTAAAGAATCATCTGTTCTGTTTGAAATTTATATTGAAATTAGTGAAATTTCAGTTGATGACTTCTAGAATTATGGCCCTTTTTTCACTTTGTAGAATCTAGTGATGACCTTTGAAACTTATGAAGATTTTAGTTAAGAGATAAAATCAACATCTGATCTATGAGCTCGCATTGTCTCTCAATCTTTCTCAGTGTCTAATAGCCTGTTCAGACGCTTAAGTTGAACTGGTTTAAATAACCTGGGGATCGTTAAACCAGTTTAACTTAAGCGTCTGAACGCAAATGTGGGGCAAATAAACCAGTTTAAAAACCCCAGCTCGCAACCTGTCTTCGAGAAGGCTTTTTATTTTAAACTGGTTCATCTTAGCCGTCTGAACGGGTTGGCTTAAAAACCTTGGCTCAAGCTTGCTTTGAGCATGCGCAGTACGCAGTAAGTTACATTCCTGTGAAAATATCGGGGTCAGACAGTGCCAATGTTATCGAAAGCGTGCGAGAACCTAATAAAGAATATGAAGCTACCCATTGCGTAGTTAACTCTAACCTCCGGCCGAAGAGGTCAGAATAGTTAAACTGGTTTGGCTTATTGTGCGTGTGAACGCAACATGATGCTGTCTTAAAAAACCCAGCAATTATGAACTGGTTTAAAAATAAGAGTCTGAACGGGCTATTAGTGTTTCAAAAATAAGTGCCCTTTTAAAACCACCATGCTGGAAAATACTGAGGCTAGTGAAATTTGTTAAAATGTTTTATTATTGTCTTAATTGATTATTTTTAGGTGAGTGATGTTAATGATGATGTAAGAAGAGTTGCTGTAACAGCATTAGGATTTCTTCTATTTCGGTATGTTATTTTTATATATCTTTAAATTCAAACTGAAACTTTTACGTGTACTATATATAGAGAATCTTTTTTTTTAACTTTTTAAGTCTGTGTTCTATTTATTCATTGTAATTTAATGTCTGCCGAATAAATACCAAGTAATTATGATGATCATCGATATTGCAGTCGGTGCTAACAAAAGAAGTAATTGCATATAGTAAGTTTACCCATTTGCAAATTTAATTTATATATTGTCATACTAAATTAACTTATCAGCAGACGCTGATGTTACAACTTATTAACTTGTTGAGCAATTATCAGTGGATTTGATACATTCTATTATATTTACCAATAATCACTCCCATCATCGTGCCCAACACAAAATTACAAGAATAGTTAGGAAAAATTAAAAACCTAATTTTTATACACCCACATTTTCATACGGACGTATATTGTCGTCGCCCCTGTCCGTCCGTCCACAATTTGTTTGTGGACACTCTACAAGTCACAATTTTTATTCGATTTTTACGAAACTTAAAATATAGGTCTATCTTCAAAAGATCTCGGTTCTTTTCAATATTGGCGTATATCGGATGATAACTTTATGGATTATGGCCCCGGATTGTATGAAAAATCACGTTTTTAGCTTGTGGACACTTTACAGGTCACAATTTTCATCTGATTTTGATGAAACTTGAAATGCATGTTTATAACCCAAACATCTTGGTTCCTTTTGATATTTGCGCATATCAGATCGTAACTTCCTGAATTATTGCCCCTGATTGTACAAAAAATGGTGTTTTTAGCTTGTGGTCCCTTTAAAGGTCAAAATTATTATCCGTTTTAAAAAAAAAAGCACTTGAATATATCACTGTTACACTGTAATGATGCATGAGTTCGAATTTCGTGAAAATCGTACTAAAACTACTGGACAAAATGGCCGACCCTTGTACGCAAATAGTGTAAAAATATGGTATATCAGGGTTGTGGAACCCTCTAGAGATCCTATTTTGATAAAATTTAAGATACATGTTTATAACCTAAAGATCTTGGTTCCTTTCAAAATGCACGCATATTGGATTCTAACTTCCTGAATTATGGCCCTTGATTGTACGAAAAATCACGTTTTTAGCTTGTGGTCCCTCTAGAGGTAACAATTTTTAGCCGATTTAAAAACACCTTTGAATATATCACCGTCACAAAACTGACGGACAAAATGGCCGCCCCTTGTACCCAAATATGTTAAATATATGGTATATCAAGGTTGTGGATCCTCTAGAGGCCACAATTTTGATTTGATTTTGACGAAACTTGAAATACATGTTTATAACCCAAAGATCGTGGTTCCTTTCGATATTCACACATATCGGATCATAACTTCCTGAATTATGGCCCTTGGTTGTATGAAAAATCGTGTTTTTAGCTTGTGGTCCCTCTAGAGGTCACAATTTTTATCCGATTAAAAAAAACGTTTGAATATATCATCGTTACACCCTAATGCTGATTGAGTTTCGAATTTCGTGAAAATCGGACCAAAACTGCCGGACGAAATGGTCACCCCTCGTCGCAAATAGTGTAAATATATGGTATATCAAGATTGTAGACCCTCTAGATGAAACTTGAAGAAATTTATCTTTATAACCCAAAGATCTTGGTTCCTGTCGATATTTGCGCATATCGGATTGTAAATTCCTGAATTATGGCCCTTGATTGTACGAAAAATCGCTTTTTGTTTAGCTTGTTCTCTGTCCATCTCTTGCAAAATGTGGGCATATCCTGCCTGGCAGCCACTGGTTTAAACCAATACAGACTTAAAAGGAGAATGTTCATATTTTTCTATATTCTGGGTTATCATCTTAATAGAATACTATAGTAAATGCTCAAGCACCACCATTAATTTAAAATTGTATTAGTGGTGTCATCAGTCAATAGCACTAGATCTTTCAGTATGGTGCCCAAAGCTTAAAACTATTAAAAGTGATTTTTAAAAATGAGATCTATTACTTTATTTTTATCAGTCATGTTTATATCTTTTCCATTTGTCAATTTTTGTTCTGCCAATGAAATCACAGACACAATCTTTAATTTGATATGGCACTGAACAGAAAGTTGACTCTAGTGGCTGTCATGGTTATATCTATTGTTGGAATATAGAAACAAAATAGCCACCTTCTTTAATGTGAGAGAACATTTGTCATCCAAAGCTTTTAGAAAACTTGAACAGTGTGTGACCAGCCCAGAACAGGATGTCTTTGAACAACAAAAGGAAATGAAAATGAATACCTTTTCACAAGTGAGAAAAGTGACTGTAAATTATTTGTGAAAAATTCTGAAAAACATCCACCACCACATAATCTCGGCATTTTTAATTAAATGGCAAGTCATTTATCAATTTTTTCTGCAGCTGTTTGTGAACTCCATGAGACATCACTATAGTGCATACATACCAGGGCACTCGCATAGGGGGAGTCTGAGGTGGGCGACACTTTTTGGGGGGGAGGAATGGGCTGGCAAATTATCTATTTGCACATACCAGAAATATTCAAATTAATCTTTGTCACAATTTTCACCCGATTTAATGAAACTTGAAATGCATGTTTATAACCCAAACATCTTGGTTCCTTTCAATATTTGCTGATATCGGATCTTAACTTCCTGAATTATGGCCCTTGATTGTACAAAAAAATCATGTTTTTTAAATTTTAGCTTGTGGTCCCTGTAGAGGTCACAATTTTTATCTGATTTAAAAAAAACTTGTGACTTTATCACCGTTACAAGATCTTAGTTCCTTTTGATAATTGTGCATATCCGAACGTAACTTCCTGGATTATGGCCCCTGATTTTTTTAAAAAATAGCATTTTTAGCTGGCAGATTTTCTGGAGGTCACAATTTTTTTTCTGATTTTAAAATCTGTTTAAATATATCACCATTCCACCATAATGAAGATTGAAATTGAATTTCAAGAAAATCTAAATGAAATTTCCCGACAAAATGGCCACTCTTTGTACACAAATTGTGTAAAAGTATGTATATGAAGGTCACAATTTGTATCGATTTTGATGAAACTTAAAACATATCTTTATATCCCAAAGATCTCAGTCCCTTTTTATATTTGCACATTTCAGACCATAAGTTTCTGGATTATTGCCCCTGATTGTACAAAAAATCACGTTTGTTTTTAGCTTGTTCTCTATCCATCTCTTGCAAAATGTGGGTGTATCCTGCCCTGGCAGCCGTTGGTTTGGAATTTGGTTATGCTCATTATGGTAACAGGTGGGTGGCACTGCTTACATGGTGGCTCATTGAGGACATGTGAAATTGTGCCTTTTTTATATAACACAACATTTTAGCTTTCAAACATATGTACAAAAGTAAATCATTCTCAACAATTTTGAAAGAGAAAATAGGCTATTTTTTTTATTTTTGGTAATTTGAATAAGGTTTCTTAAATCAGTGTAAAACGATCATTTGAATTTACTGCGAACAGAGATTTATGCACCAATACACTAAGTGTACATGATTCTTGGCTATGAATACTTAATTTTGATTGTAAGCCCACAGCCAGATTGTACCCTTGTTGTAATTGACCAGTTTGTAACTATAATAAAAGGGGGTCATTATTTGATGGAGTAATGATGGCTGTGTGGAGAAATGAAGAATAATGACTAATGTGATTTATCCTGTAGCAATTTGATATTATACCCGCAGACATCATTAGTATCATCCTCATCATTATCCTCACCATACCTTTATATTTTGATCTTATTGAACCTAGTGTGTAGTAACCGACATAATTTGATAATAATATTCAATCACTGGGGTATGTTTATTTTGCACTATGTCTGCATTTATATGAGGATCAGTAAATTTTTGATACTTTAATATGGCCACAACTTTATGCCAAATTTAATGAAAACACATCTTACTTTATGTACAGGTAAGGTTAGAATGATTTAAAAGTTTAAGTGGGTTGATTCCTCTGTGAATGTTTATTATTTCAACACAGTTGAGTTAAGATTCATGTGATAATAATTGTCCCATGCCATCACACTCTACACCCACAGCAAATGTCAAGGATTCTATCAAGCAGATCAGATCTACTCATTAATGATTTCTAAAACTTAAAAATAAAAGAAATGCCCTTCTGAAATTCATATTTTTTAGATATGTTTTCTCAGGACATCAATACTGGGCTCTTACAAGTATTTTGTACGGGCATTTCTGTCAGTATCTGTTATCAATGATAACGGAACTTTCAACAAATATAAAAGTGAAATATATCTCCCAGAACTTATATTAAATGAAGAAAATTCTGGCACTATAAATGCATCTGTTCTTGACATTTCTTATAAGTATATTACCGACTACCTATTGGATAATGACCCAATTTAATATATATTTTAAATGTTCTGTAGTTTTTTAATCCTATCTGGATTATCGCCCTTATTTTATGCCTATAAATGCATGTTCATAGTACGATTCTTTCAGCATACCTATTTTGCATTTCTTGTAGGGGTTTACGTATTATATTTTGTGCAATTACATAGCTGAATAATTCCGATTAGTTCCTAAATCGATAGCTTATTAACCATTTGGTGTTATCATATCTGTATTATCACCCTTTTTTACATTTTTCAAACTCTGTCATCTTTAGCAACCTACCGCTTTTACGTCACATCATTCAGTCGGCAGACGGCTGTCTCGAGGCAGTTTACATTTTCTCATTTGCTTCCTTGTATTCAGTATTGTTTGTTTTTTGCTCTGTTTTTGTGGTAAATGACATATGCCCTAACTATATTCAATATACCTCGATTCTGTTGAATACTAAAATGTTTTCTTACTTAACTTAGAACTTTTAGTTTTTGGACTACCTGTTGTTTTTTTTTTATACATTTCACCGATATGGTTACTTGTATAGGTAATTTTTACTTCAATATGTTTACATTCATATTTCTTGTAACATAGCAGATCATGACTCATGCTGACATTACACAATGGTTTCTCTGGGTTATATTCCAGATTGTTTTCAATTTTGAGTGAAGTATGTATCACTACAGGCCCGGGACTGTACAGCGCAGTGGACGCTTACGGCTAGCCCACGGATCCATTCACTTAAGTTGATATATTTGTTTGTGGTTTCTGTGTATTGTGTCTTGTCCATGGATTTGTTTTTGTGTAAATTATGTGTGGTGCAGTCCCTCTGCACTTAATACTATTGTGTTACATGATGATAAATGACTCAACATTACCCTTTCATTGCGTCTACCCGGAAGCCCTGACTAAAATTAGCACCATAACTGCAAGTGCCATCTATTGTTTTCTCTATACACTAGAACATATTTCCACGTGTTTCAAAGCGGAAAACGGTAAGATGGCGGGGTGCAGAGTCCCACGTAGATGATGCACTCTCGACGAAGTCGTGAATGACATCTTTGCTGACCAAGACAGCGAGGACAATTTCAAGGCGGATGATACACGTAATTCGTTTCCAGTTGATAATGATAGTAGTCAAGACAGTGATTGGTAGTATGAAGTTGGTGATTTGTTGCTAAACGTTCCGTCTATGGCTATATCTCCCATGCATGATGAACAAGCCCAAGGTGAACATGATAGCCTTATGTCTGCAGTAGATTCTAACGATTGTTCTGATGTTGATAATGATGCTGGCCTGCTGGGTCGTAGGCAAATCCAGAGTCCGGAACGTGTAGATCTATTGACTGACGATAGTGATAATAATATGGGTTGAAAGTGATGGTGAAAACGAGGTAGTGGAAGCCACACATTGGTGTGTCAGAGGCAGATCTAGATGTAGTCCGCGTGTTCATGGTGGCATTGCTCGTGGCTGCTATTTTTTAAAAACATTTATTCATTTTATATATCCGGAACGTGTAGATCTATTGACTGACTATAGTGATAATAATATGGGATGAAAGTGATGGTGAAAACGAGGTAGTGGAAGCCGCACATTGGTGTGTCAGAGGCAGATGTAGTCCGCGTGTTCATGGTGGCATTGCTCGTGGCTGCTATTTTTTAAATTTTTTTATTCATTTTATATATCCGGAACGTGTAGATCTATTGACTGACTATAGTGATAATAATATGGGATGAAAGTGATGGTGAAAACGAGGTAGTGGAAGCCACACATTGGTGTGTCAGAGGCAGATCTAGATGTAGTCCGCGTGTTCATGGTGGCATTGCTCGTGGCTGCTATTTTTTTTAATTTTTTATTCATTTTATATATCTTTATCAAAATCAAGTAAAAAAAACAAAAAAACTATAACCCACAAGTATTTGATGGAGAAAAATTTGTTTTCGTCATAGATTTAGTGAGAAATGAGGAAGCCAAAATAGCCACCATGAGGTCACGTGACTACATAATTATGCAGATTTTCAAAATTCGATTTTTTCCATCCCAACACACAAAAAGAATTTCCAAAAGCTTTTATAAGTACATTTTCGCTTTTTTCCACAAAAAAAGGTCTAGCACAGGCAGTGGATTTACGTCTAGCATTGAAAAGGTTAAGACGTTGACCATGTACTGATGTTGAGGGCAGTCACCTTTATTAGGCTTGTTAGATTGAATTGAATATTTGAATCCAAGTCGACAACTAGATAGATTGAAGTGCGTGTAGGAGTTTGTTAGTATTGATTGCTTAAATAGACAAATAAGCACAATGATTCTAAATTAGACCATATAATTATTATAGTTTGTAATTTTTTTTAAGGAAAAACAACAGAAAACTCAGAAGACTGAAAACATTATCTTATAATAGTTATAAATCAATATCACATGGACAACAGATTTCATGCCAAGAATAGGCAAAAGACTTAAACCATTTAATCACTATCCAAGTACTGTAATAAAATTATCAATAAATTAAACCGGGAAGAGATGAGATTTATATAGAGACCTGTAAAGGGTTTTTGAATGACAATAACATATACATGTAGGTAATTATCGTGAGTCATCTTTAATTAACACAGTCATTGTATTTCGTCTCTCTGTTTGCATCATTGTTGTGTAGCTATGGAGAGCAGTATCGGCATATTTAGATCGACGGCGTTGAATTTTACAAGTCAATATTTTGATAAATGTACGTCTAAAAGCGGTATTAAACATAGTATAAATGATAGGATTGGCCAAGGAGGCAGCATAACCCATCCATAGAATCACAGACATAAGTTTGGCAGTTATATCCGACATGCACATTCTACAAGTTACCGACAGTATGTTCACAATGAAAAATGGAGACCACAATATCACAAAAACTATGAAAATAATACCCAGAACTTTTGAGGCTTTACGTTCATTAGTGGCAGCTTTCTTTGACAAAAGATGTCGTATCACTGGTCGTGTTCTAGCTTTGATTGTAGCTCTAAAGCGTGCTTTAAACTTACTCCCATTCCTTTTAAACCTAGCATTTTCGTTATCTGAAGCATCCAATTCCTCATCTATATCGGTACAAAGCGGATGTGTAGATTTAGAAATGTTACCTACTTCTTTGTTATGTTCATTAAGACCATTATTAACCGTTCCATTACTGAGGCAATTATCCTTACTAGTACTACAAGGGTTATTTGCCCTAGAGTGAAGACGTATGGTTATTAGGTCTGATTCGTTAGATGACGTTGACTTGTCATCACAGTCAATATTACAATTACTTCTACTACCTCCTCGAAGTGGAGAGCTCGGTGCTGAGTGGCACATTGGACGCATAGAGTACTTCAAAAAATCATCCACTAACTTTAATTCTGTTTTACGCTTTTTGTCTGAATTTAATTTTTCCCTTTCTGAATCTTGTAAGCACTGATCCATTTCCTGTTGTATTTGAATAAATCTACGATTCCACTCTGAAGATTTTGAATCATGATCTAAATGGTTAAAGCTTAGATGTAATGACATTTTGTTCATACACTTATGATCATTGAAACAGGCCTTAGGCACACTGCTGTCAGATTTTGCTGAAGACAAAGTATAATTCTTTTGAAAAAAAGATTCATTAGGAACTTCCAGGAAATGCTTTTTTTGCTTTCTTTGTTTTTTGTTATCCCGATTCAAGCTGGTATATCCATTAATGTGAGTATTTTGTGGATCATAAAGGGATTGCTGTGAATGTCTGTATAACACATCATCCTCCCGAACTTGAAGAGATTTATATGAGTAAGAGTTTTGTTTGAGCAGTTTAATGGAAGATTGATTGAGATTTTCATTTGAGTCATTCTCTGTTTCTGGGGTCTCACATAACTTGGTACTTGATTTAGCTATTGTATCTGATGATAAATGAAGTGGAGAGTCGTTATTGGTTTCATTAAAACTAACAGCAGATGACTCGCCACTAGGAGGTGTCAGTAATTGAGGAATGTTGAGATTTGGAAAGGCTTTCATAGGATCAAAGCGGGATCGAAAATCGGAACGTTCTATTCTTTTCATCATTCGTTGATTTTTCAATAAAATTTGTATCGTCAATACATAAGTCACAATCATTATGATGAGAGGAATATAAAATGCAAACACAGAACCATAAATGACAAATGTCTTGAGCGTTGGAACACACTGTCCATGCGAATACACAATAGACGTATCAATAAATCCGTGAATACACACAGGACTGCTCACTGCTATTGAAACAGCCCACACAAAAAATATCTTTAACAAGACCATTTTCTTGGTTTTGTTTCGGCCATATCTCATGGGATATTTGAGCGTAAAATAGCGATCCATAGACATTGTGCACATATGCCAAATAGAAGCTGTACACATTAATACATCACTGGTTACCCACATTACACACAAGTTTGGGTTCAAAGGAAAAATGCCTGAAATTATAAAAATAAAATAATTTAATGCAATTAAATTTCATGTAAATATAAATGTATTTGGCTTTGATTTAGATGACCAAAATTCTTTTTTTTGCTACATTGTTTGTATTGAAATTAACTATAAGTTTATAGAAAATCAATCTATAATCATGAACTTCTGTTAAAATTAATTTTGATTTTTAGGGTGAATTTGTACTAATTTGTAAATATCTTTTGAACATTACATATTTTTAATTACTCCCAAGTGTTGTTCAATTAATCTATTTGAACTATTTACGTCAGATTTTATCAAATTCCTAGATGGCAGGTATGGTTCAGGTGCATTCTACACTAATGATATAAACCATTTATCGAGTATTTGGCACCGATTCTATAATATTTGTTTTTATCTCAAATTTTGACACGTTCCTTTTATCAAAATTTATTCTTTGAATTATCCCCTTGTGTTTGAATACTTTTTTATCCAAACATCCAAATCGTCTGTTAATACAAATTTCTTCGTGTCTGTTGTAAATGTTGCCTATCTCGTAAAAAGGATAGGTTTAACCATTTACCGGTAAGAAATTCAGCCAACAAACATACATTGCTGGTGTTTCTGGATTAAGACCTTTTAAATAAAGTTTTTTAATGCGTAGAAGAAGATAGTGCTTCAAATGTTCCCAATTCTGCTGATGACTAGAATTACCCTAGAAAAAGAAGCAAAATAAACAGTACTTTATCTGTAATTGAAGTTACTATTACCTGGACTGAATTAATCTTCATAGATGATTATGAACATGTTTTAACCTTATTTTTTCAGGTTTCTATCCAGATAAATATATTTTTTTTACATTTCAACATCTTTATTTCTTGGCAGGGGAGAGGAAAATAATATGATTAGAAATTTAAAGTCTGTTTTTGAAATAAATGTGACTTAAACATACATTATGCAAGAGCTAAATCTGCCAATTGCAGGTCTTTCCTAAATTATGATTTAGACATTAATTAATTAGACCATAATCAACTCTCGATGTCATCGCTAGGCTGTGATATTCACTGGTTTGGAATCCGACCTGCTGCTCATTGATGATTAAATCAAAAAATGGATAATCAAGACTATGTTTTTTTATTGTACCGACTTTAGTAATGAATACTAATGATGATCAAGGCTAGGCCTAAAATGTAATCGCTAAATTCTTGGTTCAGAGTGGATCAATTTGAGTGATATTTTCAACAAATTCCCTTCACATTATCTAGTTAACTATTACAGTGAGAACTGCCAGCTCTTTATCTAATCTCCCATTGGTTTCGAAATATGTTATTAACATTTTGATGGGAATTGACATCCTTGTTACAGTTGTAGTTGAATAAACTATAGTCAGTACATTAGTCCTTGATCTGATGATACACATCACATATATCCTTAGATTACTTTTATCAGTTTTATGGTTCAACTTTCACTATTGAAATTTAATATGATAAAGTGGGAAATTTAATATGATAAACTGTTATTATTTGCCTCTCCTAACCTTTCTATCAATAAAGTGTTGTGGGGTTGCTATTTTTTTTTTTTTCTCACATAACACTTTGGTATAACACTAATATTTTTGTTTTGTTGGTGAAACATTAGTGTAGAGAGTTTCAGAGATAATTTCATGTTCTATTTCAAACATAAAGAAATATTAACTTATCACTGTTATTTTTTCCTTAATTTAACGCTACCTGTAATAGTTTATTTACGGTATTTCTTAATTAATGGGTACCTTAGCAACACAAGAGCTTGATAATAACAGATATGAATGGAAATACTCAAATCTCAAGTGTGGAATTCAGTCGCATCATAAATCATTACTCTCCTTTATCAATTCAACTTGTAATCAAAGACGTAGAAAAGAAAACTGTTTATAGAGAAATAAGTCCACCCTTTCATTCTTTTTATGCCAACAATCATTTAGAGTTCTAGACAAGATTTTGGATGGGTGTGTAGACATGTAAAAAATGTTTGGACTCCTCTAAAACATAAACAGTTATTATACCACCTGTTTTATAGTCTACCTTGCTCTTTGATCAAAACAAAAATACACACGATTTTTTAACATCATTCTTTTAGATTACTTATTGAGTGGTAAGTGTAGGGGAAGATTTATTGATCCCATATGCCTCAAAATCACTTGTTGATTAACATTTTCCAGATTCTGTTGAATTTATTAAAATGGAAGTAGTAATTTACTATTATTATATATAGTGCAAATTCTTAGCAGTAAGCACTTAGAGAAATATAAATATGATGTATATATGAACTTTTATGTTGATAATTTCAAAAGCATAGGTGGGCTGTATTATACTGGTAGCTCAGACCTGCCCACTTAGAATGATGAAAGTGCGTAAGATTTACTCATTTAGTGAGTCTTGGTCTTAGCCATTTGCTGGGGATGTTTTGTCTTTTTCTTGTTTTATTTGAATGAATTTCTGTGGAATTTGGTGCGTTCTACTTAAAAGGATTACAAATCTTCTTTGTTTGTCATGGTTAAGGTTCAAAATTATGGGGAAAAAAGGGCAAATACCCTAATTGTTTTTATTGAAAAGTTACTTATTTTTAGATTTTTCATCATTCAAAATCTTTTTAAAAGACCAAATGATACTTTTAAGAAATTGTAAGTTGTTCACTATTCGAATACATGGATAGCCCCAACATAATACGTATACCTTCAAAATTTTAACCGATATAGATTGCCGGTGAACGTTGGGTTATTATTCAAACCGGCCTGTACATTATACATGTACATGTTTTCATGTAGACTATTAGTTTGACACTCACTTCCTCGCTCAAGACATGTATTCAATTTAAAATAAGGACATTTTTCTTCAACATGCTAGAATCATGACGATGTCGTCATGCAAGCGATTCACCATGTTCAACAGCAAAACTCTGATCCACCACGATTGGGAAGGACACCCAGCGAAACTCCACGCTTTTCCACCGTTTTCGGCAATTCTAGTCTCACACTCTAGCCGTGTACTGTATCTATAAGTAATAATATGTTTTATTCAGAATCAAATGACACAGTTTTGTGAAGTTTACATTTACTATTCTCCAAATGAATAAAACGGCCATATATTTACTATCCTCCAAATGGATGAAACTGCCATATACTCACTCTAAATTGTACATTGTAGTAATAAAAACTACATATGTATGAAAGATTATCTAATATCATTTACTTTTAATCATGATAGGTAAATGTTATTCAAAACTGATAAATTTATGATTGAAAACAGCACTTAAATTGACGAAAATTAGCAATGTTTGCTTTCAACTTTGATTCATATTTTTTCTTTACTTTTTATTGTTTCAAACAAACATGAAGCAAAATCATTTGCAACCTATGCAGTATGTTAATTTTTTTTTTATAAAATATATTGTTAATTTTCAGGGTAATGGGCTATCAAATTTGAAGGAATATGGTATTAGAAAAATATTCAATGTCTTGTAATTTAATAGTGTCTGGTATTAATAAAGTAAATGTTACTAACTAAAAACGTTTTTTCCAGATGGAAAAAAACCTAATTCTAATTAAGTCAAAGATGATGGCAATTATTTTATCTTCCAATACTGTTGGAAGCAAAATTTCATTAAAAATATTAAAATGGTTTTTCTGGTGCTATTTGCTAGGTTTGTAAAATAAACAGGTTTGTTGGAAGAAAGTCGTTAAGAAGTATGTGAAAATTGTTTATTTCGACAAGATGATGTGGGATGATAAGTAAACGTCAATATGATATTTAATAAATGCCAAGGACTGAAGTAATTTCTTGTATGGATATTGATGTACTGACGACATAAAATCATACAGTTGTAAATGTCACCTCTTCAATCACTGCCCCCTGGCTTCGGACTTTGTCTCATTTGATACAGTGAAAGTTGATTTTTACATCATAACAGTCTCATTATGATTGACTTTGGAAAAGTTGAAGTTCCCAGATGATTTGTTATTTGACACTCCGACAAGACACAATCACTTGAGATTGAGACTCCAGGCATCTGTGTCAATATTAATTAATTTTCTTTTCACTTAATAACTCCCTACAGGTAAACTTTGTAATCATTGTTATTAAACATTTAATTTTTGCCCTTTTGTGACAGTTTGTTTATTTCAACATGGTCGAATCTATGGTATAAATTGAGTCACTTTTCTATTTTTCTCTTCAAAAGTACAAGGTTGTCCTTAATTAGATTTGTTCAAGTCAGATCAATGGATTATCTCATGGTTTAGACCTTTTTTGATTATCTATGTGTAATATGGTTAGGTTTTTGTTTTGGTGATTGTTTCTTTTGAATGCCTGAAAAGTCCAAAGTAGTTTGGTTTATTTGACTTCAAAGAGATATGTGCCCTCTAACTATTGGAGTTTTTTTGGGGTTATTTTTAACCCATTCCCCCTCACATCAAAAGTCATTCTTTTTCTGACAAAGGGTTGCTGTTTTTGATTAGATTTAGAATTACAATAAGTGTGATAGAATAAATCCATCTATAACCAGACAAGATATTTGTCTGCAATTTTTACGACCAAATGTCATGTTATTATTGTTAAGTTTTTACTTTGAACTTGTTTAATGATGAATGTAGTCTCTTCTTCATTTATCTCTATTATCAGTCTTGGTATTAAGTCAGTTTTTCGAAAAATATGTTACAATTTCGCATGGTCTTTGCATTGTTACACAATTTATAACATTTGGGAATAAAATGTCTGTCCTCTATTTCAAGAATCACTCAAGGTCAGTTTTCAACTCCACATTGAATCGCTCACTGTATCAGTCTGTGAAAATAGACGGTATTTTTATTGTTAATAAATTTTTATTAACCGATAGTACGGCCACACATCACTGAACCAAATATTAAATTTAGCTTGAATAAAAAGAAAATTATACGTTTGTTATAAATTAGAATTTCTAACATGGATATGCATTTCGGTGGTCCACATTGGAACTCTTACAAAATTACTGCCAATGTTATAAAATGAAA